TGTAGATTTTTTTATTTTTTTTATTAACCCATTGCTTCATGAGCATTTTGTGAAAAATGGCTGTTTTCATTGAAAAGTCTCCCGTTACAAGTTCAAATTGCTATAATACTATAAAAACTGCTTAAACACTAATCAAACTTGGCACAAATGTTGACTGGACCATTGCCCTTGCAACAACATGCTCAGGCTTAAATTTTCTGTTACCATGGCAACGAGGGGACATCTCAAAATTGCCAAAAATCACTATTTTGCGTTGATTTTTTCCATCATAATTGATTTCAAAGTGCTGCAACTTCTCAATGGATTGAGATAGAGTCAAATGCTTTTCAGCGTTGGTTACACGTTACCTTATGATCAATCTGAGGTCATTTATAGCCTCTCACAAGTCCAAAATTTTCTTGGCGATGAGGGGGAATCCGCCCCCCTTCAAACCCCCCAAACAGAAGGGGGCACATCGCCCTTCTGGCAACCCCCTGATGTATCTTTTGGTTGGGGGGCCGCGCCGAAAAAGTGGTCACTTTTTTTAACAACATTTCTCAAACAAAAACAAGTGTTGGGGGCCTAAATAAGGCATTTTTTCACCATTTGAGACAACAAAAAGGGGGGGGGGTGAAAAAGGCGTTAAAAGGCGTGTATATGAAGTAATGGGTTAACTACGGAATGAAGCTCATAATAATCAAATGTTTGCTCGGACGGACGGAGGGACGGACAGACGGACAAGGCGCCGACTATATGCTCCCCCGAAATTTTTCGGGGAGCATAAAAAAAAAAAAATCGACCTACCTACCCACCTTGAAAATTCTGGGGTCGGGTTACTGCAAACAAACATTTTTTTAAGGATGGCCCAACCGTTTAAACGCAAAAATAAGATCTGTATGAAAATATTGTCTGTATTCGACTAGATTTTTACAAATGTAAGATCTGTGAAAATGAAAGTTGCATGAAAATAATATCCTTACGAGAATAAGATACATTTGAAAATAATATTATGTAAAAAAATATTAGCTGTATGAAAATACTATATATATGAAAATAAGATCCTATAAAAATGCGATCCATACAACAAAAGTAAGATCTGTAAGAAAATAATATGCACAAATATAAGATTTATATGAAAATAAGATCTGTATAAAATAATGTCTGTCTTCTACTAAGATTTTTACGGGAAAAAAAAGATCTGTATATGAAAATAATGTCTTTATAAAATAAGATCTTTAACGAAAATAAGATCTGTGTAAAAATATATATACAGTATATTTTTTTGATAACAAAATCTGTAAAAAAAAATCTGTAAAAGTATAGGATATCTATATGAAAATTTGATATGATTGGTCACTATAATAAATCGCAAATAAACACCTTTCAAGATGGGCTTTAATAAGTGTGTGTCAATTACGATAAGTGCGAAAATTCAATAATCCAATCATCGTATTAGCGCATTGATTGCTGCCGACAGTCATGTGCACGTGTCATACGTTGTGTCATTTTTTTCCTTCCCTCAAATAGAAATATCTTGTTTATAAATGCATTATCTAATTAAAGCACTTAAAGCAATAAAGTTATATACTTTTCTTTTACTTAATATAGATATTATTTTCATATTAGAATCTACACGTATTTTCAATTATGTTTTATAATTTGGTAAAAACCATTTCCATATTGATATCTTATTTTCATATAAATTACAGATTTTGATTCCTTTTTCGTATCATTCTGAAACAGATATTATGTTCATACTAATACATTTGTATTTTTTCGTATAGATCTTATTTTTGTAAGGATTTTATTTTCATGCAAATTTCATATTCACAGATCTTATAAAAATATTTGTAAAAATCTTAGTCGAAAACATAATTTTCATACAGAATATATACATCTTATTTTGGCATACATTGTACATCATATTTTCAATTGGATCTTATTTTCGTACAAATATCAATTCATATATACGGATTTTAATTGTTGGCAGATCTTATTTTCGTACATGTAGTAGTAAAATCATTCAATGAATGCATAAATATATATTTTATATAATTATTTCAACAGATAAATGCACTATTTAAAAAATAAATCTTATTTTCGTAGCCGCGATCTTATTTTCGTGAAAATAACTTATTTTTGGTATCCATCTATACCGGCCACCATGACATACATGTGTAAAAAAGTAGTACCATGAAAATAAACATCATTTACCTATTTCTTGTGTACATGACAAACACACTTCACTGTTACACATAAAAAATGTTAGATTTTAAAGTTTGATAGTGTTTTCATTTTAATAGTAGTTCATAAGGCTATAAATGATGATTGTTTTCTTGCACTACTTTTTTACAAAAAATAATGGAGGCCATGTGCTTAGAAGGACATGAGATATGGATTTATTTGGAGTTAAGTTTTGAAAGATTTTTGTATTTGCTGCAAAAAATAGCTTTTGTAGGCACTAAAACAGACCTTAGAAACGATTTTGCCATTCATGAAATGTGCATAAAACTTTGCACATTCAAGGTAAATATTCTTATTGTTATCAATTTATCATTTTTATTTTTGTTTATAATTGTCCTTAAAATATAAACCTGGAAGTGTACTTTCAAATGGTTCATCATTTTATAATAAGAGCTTTGTTGTCATATGAATTTTGGCCTACTTTCACTTTGGACAGGCTTTGTGAAAACAAACTTATGGCATGACCGCCACAACTTTCCTTTGAAGATCGGCGTTCTCTAAATTTCAGTATTGGAAAACTTTGGGGTGCTCTTAATGAGGTATCAGTACACTTTCTCGCGCATGCCCAGTTTATTATTTTATTTCAAATAATAAAGTGAGCATACCTGGAAAAGAGCAAAAAATACATTACACAGGTTACAGACTTTTTTTAATGTTTATATATCTCAATCTTTATTTTTATTTCAAAATCTGAAAATGCAGTTATTATAAGATGTTGACTCCAGTGGAAAGTAATCGCCATTTTCTGCATCCTGTCCTCAAGGACAAATCTGAAACAATGATCAAATTATTCATTTTTTTTTTTACTTTAAGTCAATGCTTTCGTTTTACAGGAGATTCTGACCAGTAAGCCATTCAGTAAATCACTACACGTATATGAACATAATATTCTAGCGTAATTATTAATAGATGGAAGTAGTTTATATGTTAAAATAAAGCAAATATTACGAGAGAGCGTAAATCTCCAAGAAAAAAGTCGTGATGGTCATGCGATAAAACAGTTAGTGTTACAGAATAAATACTCGGACTTCACAGGCTGGTCTGAATCTGAATGTATACACTGCAGAACCTTCCGGTATGTACGCAGCGGACTTTACCGGCTGGTATCAGCGCATGGGGCGACAGAAGGGTCAATCATGGAAATTTATCTCGACGTTCCGGTATGTACGCAGTGGACTTTACCGGCTGGTATCAGCGCATGGGGCGACAAAAGGATCAATCATGGAAATTTTATCTCGACGTTCCGTCTCGATTAATTTCCTATGATTTACCCTTGTTGTCGCCCCATGCGCTGATACCAGCCGGTAAAGTCCTCGTATATATCCTATAACTATTACATGGCTGACAAAGCGGAATCACCTTAATAATCATACCCCATACAATAGGACTAGCTGTTGCGATTATTAATCAATATTATGAATTCATTTAAGGAAGAGTTTAATAAAAGTCTAATTAATGTGTGTTGATATTGAAGATTATTAGCCTCACGCGGAAATAAATTGGGTATGACTTAATACCAAATATGAGTGATATCCGCGGATATCACTATAAATACCGAATATGACCTATATTTTACAAAGTAATAATTTTTTTATAAATTTTTCTTGATACTATGTTTTATAATAATAAAATGAATTTACATGCAAAATTGCGTTAAATTTGGTCCATAAATAAAAAAGTTATAAGTTATATTCGAATTACGTTCTATAAAAGTCATGTCCGTGGCGGACAGGAGATACCGAATATGACTTATTTTTTATGAATTGATTAATTTTTTTATGATTATTTCTCGATACGATGTTTTATAATTATATAATTATTTTACATGCAAAATATCGTTAAATTTGGTCCATAAATAAAAAAGTTATAAGTTATATTCGTTGCGTTTTCTATAACAGTCATATCCGTGAAGGACAGAAGATACCGAATATGACCTATATTTTACAAAGTAATTATTTTTTATATTTTTTTTTCTTAATAAGATGTATTAAAATAATAAAATAAATTTACATTCAAAATTTCGTTAAATTTGGTCAATAAATAAAAAAGTTATAAGTTATATTCATTGCGTTTTCTATAAAAGGCATAACCGTTGCGGACAGAAGGTACCGAATACGACTTATTTTTTATAAATTGAATTTTTTTTCTCGATACTATGGTTAATAATAATATGATGTTTTTACATGCAAAATATCGTTAAATTTGGCCAATAAATAAAAAAGTTATAAGTTATATTCGAATTACGTTCTATAAAAGTCATATCCGTTGCGGACAGAATATACCGAATACGACTTATTTTTTATAAATTGATTATTTTATTATTTATTTTTCTCGATACTATGGTTAATAATGATATTATGTTTTTACATGCAAAATTTCGTTAATTTTTGTCAATAAATAAAAAAGTTATAAGTTATATTTATTGCGTTTTCTATAAAAGGCATGTCCGTTATGGACCGAATTTAACGCAATTTTGCATGTAAATTCATTTTATTATTATAAAACATAGTATCAAGAAAAATTTATAAAAAAATTATTACTTTGTAAAATATAGGTCATATTCGGTATTAATAGTGATATCCGCGAATATCACTCATATTTGGTATTAAGACATACCGAGATTGAATAAATCTCCCCAAAATCCAACTTTCGTTTTCAATTGATGAAACATTGTTAATTTACCTAAGCGAGTTAATTGTTTTTGACTTGTTATGTTAACATTTCATTCAAGTAAAAAATAATTTACCTATTAGTTACAAACTTTTCAAGATACTTACCGCAATTTCTTCAAATTTTGAGAAAATATTATCCGGGGCTATTTTCCGCCATTCTGATTTTTTCCAATTTGACAGCGCATGCGTACAGTAATCTGGTTCCCTGTCCCATTTAGGTTCCCATCCAAGAATTGCGCAGGGGACCAGTCTGATGCGTCTGTAAACGAACACTACTAAATTATAGAAAGATTTCACAACACTAAATATTTTCCTACACTTTCTTTAGTAAAAAAGGTCAAAAAAACATCTGGAAGAGACTCTGCAAACTATTATTATAGGCAATATTGTGCCGTTTCTTTAGTATGAGAAAATAAAAGCAGGCTTATATCATTTTTTATCATCTAATTTTAATTGAATAAATTTGAATGAAGGCTCTCGCACACATAACACCACCTAAATCAGAATATTCAATCTATGTTAACTTAATTATTTCAATCCTCTAGCACCGTCTAAATCAGTATATTCAATCTATGTAAACTTAACTATTTCAATCCTCTAGCACCGTCTAAATCAGTATATTCAATCTATTTTAACATAATTATTTCAATCCTCTAGCACCTTCTAAATCAGAATATTCAATCTATGTTAACTTAATTATTTCAATCCTCTAGCACCACCTAAAGCAGTATATTCAATCTATGTTAACATTATTATTTCAATCCTCTAGCACAGTCTAAATCAGTATATTCAATCTATGTTAACATAATTATTTCAATCCTCTAGCACCTTCTAAATCAGTATATTCAATCTATGTAAACTTAACTATTTCAATCCTCTAGCACCGTCTAAATCAGTATATTCAATCTATGTTAACATAATTATTTCAATCCTCTAGCACCTTCTAAAGCAGTATATTCAATCTATGTTAACTTAATTATTTCAATCCTCTAGCACCACCTAAAGCAGTATATTCAATCTATGTTAACATTATTATTTCAATCCTCTAGCACCGTCTAAATCAGTATATTCAATCTATGTTAACTTAATTATTTCAATCCTCTAGCACCGTCTAAATCAGTATATTCAATCTATGTTAAAATAATTATTTCAATCCTCTAGCACCGTCTAAATCAGTATATTCAATCTATGTTAAAATAATTATTTCAATCCTCTAGCACCGTCTAAATCAGTATATTCAATCTATGTTAACTTAATTATTTCAATCCTCTAGCACCGTCTAGAGCAGTATATTCAATCCATGTTAACTTAATTATTTAAATCCTCTAGCACCGTCTAAAGCAGTATATCAATCTATGTTAACTTAATTAATTCAATCCTCTATCACCGTCTAAAGCAGTATATTCAATCTATGTTAACTTAATTATTTCAATCCTCTAGCACCAACTAAATCAGTATATTCAATCTATGTAAACTAAATTATTTCAATCCTCTAGCACCGTCTAAAGCAGTATATCAATATATGTTAACTTAATTATTTCAATCCTCTAGCACCGTCTAAAGCAGTATATTCAATCTATGTAAACTTAATTATTTCAATCCTCTAGCACCGTCTAAATCAGTATATTCAGTCTATGTTAACTTAATTATTTCAATCATCTAGCACCGTCTAAATCAGTATATTCAATCTATGTAAACTTAATTTTTTCAATCCTCTAGCACCGTCTAAAGCAGTATATTCAATCTATGTTAACTTAATTATTTCAATCCTCCAGCACCGTATAAAGCAGTATATTCAATCTATGTAAACTTAATTATTTCAATCCTCTAGCACCACCTAAATCAGTATATTCAATCTATGTAAACTTAATTATTTCAATCCTCTAGCACCGTCTAAATCAGTATATTCAATCTATGTTAACTTAACTATTTCAATCCTCTAGCACCGTCTAAAGCAGTATATTCAATCTATGTTAACATAATTATTTCAATCCTCTAGCACCGTCTAAAGCAGTATATTCAATCTATGTTAACATAATTATTTCAGTCCTCTAGCACCGTCTAAATCAGTATATTCAATCTATGTTAACCTAATTATTTCAATCCTCTAGCACCGTCTAAAGCAGTATATTCAAATTATGTTAACTTAATTATTTCAATCCTCTAGCACCGTCTAAAGCAGTATATTCAATCTATGTTAACTTAATTATTTCAATCCCCTAGCACCGTCTAAAGCAGTATACTAGTATTCAATCTATGTTAACTTAATTATTTCAATCCCCTAGCACCGTCTAAAGCAGTATATTCAGTATATGTTAACTTAATTATTTCAATCCTCTGTCACCGTCTAAAGCAGTATATTCAATCTATGTAAACTTAATTATTTCAATCCTCTAGCACCGTCTAAAGCAGTATATTCAGTCGCAGTATATTCAATCGTTGCTAACATGTCACTTCCACATAAAACATATATCGTAGCAGTGTATTCAGTATTTGTTAACATACTCACCCAATTTATACCGTCTAAAGCAATATTTTCAATCTCACACCCACCTGTCACCGTCAAAAGCAGTATAAGCAGTCCTTGTTAACATATCTTGCCCACATAGCACCGTCTTAAGCAGCACATTAAATATTTGTTAACATATCTCACCCATCTAGCGCCGTCTAAAGCAGAATATTCAGTCTTTGTTAACATATCTCACCCACCACCACCGTCTAAAGCAGCATATTTAGTCTTTGTTAACATATTTTACCCAACCACCACCGTCTCAAGCAGTATAATTATTTAGTCTTTGATAACATATATTACCCTCCCAGCACCGTCTAAAGCTGCATATTCAGCCTTTGTTAACTTGTTTCACCCACTTATATATTATTAATTAAGACCGTCTAAAACAGCATATTTACTCTTTGTACACATATTTCAACAGCCTAGCACCATCTAAAGCAGTATATTTAGTCTTTGTTAACATATCTCACCCACCTAGCACCGTCTTAATCAGCATATTTAGTCTTTATTAACATATCTCACCCACCCAACACCGTCTTAAGCAGCATATTTAGTCTTTGTTAACATATCTCACCCACCTGGCACCGTCTAAAGCAGTATTCTAAGCTTTTGTTGACAATTCTTCCCCACCTCTCACCAATTGACACAGTAAATAGTCCTCGTAAACATATTGATCTCGTCCACCTAGCACAGCCTTAAGCAGTAATCAGTTTGTTAATATATTTTTTCCCCGAACACCTTCTTTTGCAGTATATGGTATCATCAATGTTGTTCAGATTAACAAAGTTTGCTGGTAGATCACACTTTTTTGAGCTTGAAATGACGATCAATAGACTTAACATGATTTAAAACACCTGGTTTGAAGACAAACAAATTAAGACATACGCTTGTTGGACAGATCCTTATTTTATTTTAAGAAAGATATAGGACTCAATGGCTACTGTTACTTAGTTTGCTAAAAGATTAACTAACCAAGATAAAGATAAAGTTATGTTATTATGTTATATTATGCTTTAACACGAAGTTTTAATACAAATCTAAACAAGATAGATTTACATAACACCAATTCATCAAGTCAATGGGAATTAGAAAACATTAAATAAATGGTTAGAATTATAAAACGTCAAAATTTAAGTACATTGTAAGACTTAAAACATTTATTGCATTCTTTTAATATGTTTAAATTGCTTTCCTCAAAAGAAAACGTTACCTTACCTAACAATGTTAAAAAAATGTTGTTGTTGTTGTTGTTGTTGTTGTTGTTGTTGTTGTTGTTAAAGTGTAAGCCTCCGTACAAATTTCGACTACTTCTTGAATGTTTAATTTTCTATGTTAAAAAGGACAATACCAAGCTCGGATTGGAATGATTAAATTATGATATATATGTAAAAAGTTTTTGCAAACTGAATGTCATATTATTTATTGTTTTATTTCATTATTTTGTTCCTTTTTTCAATTATAAAGACAAACTCCGTGGCGTATTTAATATATAGTGGGAAATAAATAAATAACAGAAAATATTTCATATTTTGTCTTATATTATTAGTTATAAAGATAGTTGACAAGTTATATGGCCCTATATAAACGGCTATTTGTAAATATAACCCGAGCCGTTTATACACGGCCATATAACCTGTCAACAATCTTTATAACCAATTTATATTACTGCAAGAATCATTTTTAGAGAAAAAAGATTTATTCATGAATCGACAGCAGGCGTGTATATAAAACTATATAAACGTCACAATTATCCAATGAAAAATGACGTTACAAACGTGCAGTATTATAAATAAATACATATTGCTGTCTGATCGAAGGGAAATTACCCTTGTAAGGAAGATATACTTGAGTATATGACATGATGACTTTCCTCAATTTCTTTCCGAAATAAATGTGTCAATTATGATTAAAGGGAAATAATTAATCAACTAATAGACGGACTATTACTATATCCTCCTTTTTTCTTCGAAAAGGCGGGCAATTGATGTATTATAAATAAATACATATTGCTGTCTGATCGAAGGGAAATTACCCTTGTAAGGAAGATATACTTGACTATATGACATGATGACTTTCCTCAATTTCTTTCCGAAATAAATGTGTCAATTATGATTAAAGGGAAATAATTAATCAACTAATAGACGGACTATTACTATATCCTCCTTTTTTCTTCGAAAAGGCGGGCAATTGATTACAGTCATTAAAAATCTGAAGACAAAATTTTTAAACAAGACAATGTTTATTGAATGAACGTAGCAATTATTCCAACATCCCTGTATTATATTGGACATCAGAGTTAAGACACAGTTAAGGTTTATTTAATCGAGTCATTTGTTAAAGAAATGATAATCTTAGCGGTTTTTTTGTCATTAATTAAGTTCACAGTATGATAAAAATGGACGCTGCAAGTTCATTTTTGTGTCGCCTCTACGGAGTATTGGCGACATAAAGGGATCACTTCTCCGTCGTCTGTCTGTCCGCCTGCCTGTCCGTCTGTCACAAAACTTGTCCGGACTACTCCTCATAAACTACTTGTGCAATTTCATCCAAACTTTACAGGAATGATCAGTACCAAATCTAGTTGTGCATATTATCAGCATTTTCCGGTTCAATAATTTTTGTCAGAGTTATGGCCCTTTAATATTCTTATTTTTAAAGTTTGTCCTGACTACTTCTCTTATACCACTAATGCAATTTCAATGAAACT